TGGAGGTGGTGGTGGTGATAGTGGTGATGGAGATGGTGGTGGTGGTGATGGTGGTGATGGAAGTGATGGAGGTGATGGAGATGGTGGTGGTGGTGGTGGTAGAGGTGGGGGTGATGGTGGTGGTGGTGATGGTGATGGTGGTGGTGGTGGTGATGGTGGTGATGGTGATGGTGGTGGTGATGGTGGTGATGGTGGTGGTGATGGTGGTGATGGTGGTGGTGATGGTGGTGATGGTGGTGGTGATGGTGGTGATGGTGGTGGTGATGGTGGTGATGGTGGTGGTGATGGTGGTGATGGTGGTGGTGATGGTGGTGATGGTGGTGGTGATGGTGGTGATGGTGGTGGTGATGGTGGTGATGGTGGTGGTGATGGTGGTGATGGTGGTGGTGATGGTGGTGATGGTGGTGGTGATGGTGGTGATGGTGGTGGTGATGGTGGTGATGGTGGTGGTGATGGTGGTGATGGTGGTGGTGATGGTGGTGATGGTGGTGGTGATGGTGGTGATGGTGGTGGTGATGGTGGTGATGGTGGTGGTGATGGTGGTGATGGTGGTGGTGATGGTGGTGATGGTGGTGGTGATGGTGGTGATGGTGGTGGTGATGGTGGTGATGGTGGTGGTGATGGTGGTGATGGTGGTGGTGATGGTGGTGATGGTGGTGGTGATGGTGGTGATGGTGGTGGTGATGGTGGTGATGGTGGTGGTGATGGTGGTGATGGTGGTGGTGATGGTGGTGATGGTGGTGGTGATGGTGGTGATGGTGGTGGTGATGGTGGTGATGGTGGTGGTGATGGTGGTGATGGTGGTGGTGATGGTGGTGATGGTGGTGGTGATGGTGGTGATGGTGGTGGTGATGGTGGTGATGGTGGTGGTGATGGTGGTGATGGTGGTGGTGATGGTGGTGATGGTGGTGGTGATGGTGGTGATGGTGGTGGTGATGGTGGTGATGGTGGTGGTGATGGTGGTGATGGTGGTGGTGATGGTGGTGATGGTGGTGGTGATGGTGGTGATGGTGGTGGTGATGGTGGTGATGGTGGTGGTGATGGTGGTGATGGTGGTGGTGATGGTGGTGATGGTGGTGGTGATGGTGGTGATGGTGGTGGTGATGGTGGTGATGGTGGTGGTGATGGTGGTGATGGTGGTGGTGATGGTGGTGATGGTGGTGGTGATGGTGGTGATGGTGGTGGTGATGGTGGTGATGGTGGTGGTGATGGTGGTGATGGTGGTGGTGATGGTGGTGATGGTGGTGGTGATGGTGGTGATGGTGGTGGTGATGGTGGTGATGGTGGTGGTGATGGTGGTGATGGTGGTGGTGATGGTGGTGATGGTGGTGGTGATGGTGGTGATGGTGGTGGTGATGGTGGTGATGGTGGTGGTGATGGTGGTGATGGTGGTGGTGATGGTGGTGATGGTGGTGGTGATGGTGGTGATGGTGGTGGTGATGGTGGTGATGGTGGTGGTGATGGTGGTGATGGTGGTGGTGGTGGTGGTGATGGTGATCGAGGTGGTGGTGATGGTGCTGATAGTGATGGAGGTGGTGGGGATGTCAGCCCATGTGCAGTCTCCATGGGTGCCCGGTCACCGTGTGCTGTAAACTGAGTGTCCCCGGCTTTCTGGGGAAGGCCAGTGCAGGCCTGAATGCAGGTGTTAAAGGCTGAGATCGGCGTTACCAACAACATCCTCTCAAGCCTCCCATCACTTAAAACGAGGTTGGTCAGTTACTAAGCTAATAACATGTATGTCATGATAATTCTTTAAGTGGGTTTTCCTACATCTACAAACTAAAATCTCAAAATTTCCCGGTCAGTTCTTTGTTTTAAATGACGAGGATTCCATTTCTTCATACCAAGAAGGCACAGGAGCATCGGAACGCACTGCGCTTCTCTGCCCCAGAGAGAAAGCCTACGGGCCTCGCTGCAAGCGTCTGTCCTGACGTCGCCACCCGACACCCGCTCCAGCCCCAGCCCACTCTTCCCGGAGCGGCTGGAGCCCAGCGGCCCACAGCTCCCTAGTTCACTCGCTCTACCCCCTGGCCTGCTCGCCTTCCGGTCACACGGAGAGGCGGGCTCTCGGGAAAGCGAGTCCTCCGACAGGACAGCGCGCCGGCCTTCTGAGCGCGTAGGGTCAGAAAGGCCCGCGGTCACCGACGCAGCGCAGGGGTCTGCGAAATGGGACCCGCTTGGAGCAGAGCTGGTCAAAGGGCTCCCGAACGACGTCTTCGATGCATTCCCCATTGCGTGGGGACACTGGGTTAGAGAGCGGGGGAAGCCATGAGCCAGACCCGAGTCCGAGGCTAGGCTGTGTGCCTTGGGCCAATTACGTAGCCGCGCTGTGCCTAGTCCCCCCTCCCTGAAACCAGGACGGGAACGCGAGCCTGCCTAGCCGACCTAAAAGGGCTTAGGCACGCCCGTAGCATGCGGCCACGCCAACCAGGGCTCCCGCCGCTGGGACCCAAGACCCTGTCTCTCGACTGGCACGTCCGAGGCCGCGCAGGCTCGCGCCTACGTGGGACGGGCTCCGTCTGGGCGGAGGGCGCCTCGCAGGCCGCCGAGCCCGGCTCCCTGGGCAGCCCGGGCTGCAGCCACCGCGGGTGACCTGTTACTGCTGCAGCCACCGCCGGGCGGGGCGGGGACAAGGCCCCAAGAGGGAGGGACGCAGGGAAGCTGTAGCTCGGACCCACAGTGCTCTGCTACCCAGGAGAACCCGAGCCCCCACCCCGCGGGCCCAGTTCGTTCTGAGATGAGGCTTCTTTCTGCCGCCCCCATTTAGAGAAAGGTTGTTTGGGAGTGACGTGTTGGGGTCTCTAGGCCTGAGAAGAGGCAGATGGAGGTGATGGAGACTGTGGGGATGGAGGTGGTGGAGGTGGAGACTGTGGGGATGGAGGTGGTGGTGATGGAGACTGTGGGGGTGGAGGTGATGATAATGGAGGTGGTTCTGATGGTGGAGGGGGTGGTGGGCATGGTAATAATGATGGTGGTGGTGATGGTGATGGAGGTGATGGAGGTCGTGATGGTGGTGGTGATGGAGGTGGTGGTGATGGAGGTGGTGGTGATGGAGGTGGTGGTGATGGAGGTGGTGGTGATGGAGGTGGTGGTGATGGAGGTGGTGGTGATGGAGGTGGTGGTGATGGAGGTGGTGGTGATGGAGGTGGTGGTGATGGAGGTGGTGGTGATGGAGGTGGTGGTGATGGAGGTGGTGGTGATGGAGGTGGTGGTGATGGAGGTGGTGATGGTGGTGGTGACGGTGATGGTGATGGAAGTGATGGAGGTGATGGTGGTGGTGATCATGAAGGTGGTGATGATGGCTGTAGGTCTGTGGAGGTGGTGATGGTGATGGAAGTGATGGAGGTGATGGTGGTGGTGATCATGAAGGTGGTGATGATGGCTGTAGGTCTGTACTTCTGTGCGCCTTCTGACCCAGCCACTGAAAATCTTTCTCTGCCTAGGCTCCCTCAGAACCGATTACCCTTGCCAGCCCTGGTCCTGCCCCTGCTTCCCATGACCTGGAAGCACTTAGTCTTCCCTGGTCCAGGCAAAAGGGAGGCCCAGGCTCTGGCTGAGCCCTCGGGAGGACTCCGAGTGTGGGTTAGGACCAAGGTGGGCTCTGCTGAGAGTCAGCGAGGCCTGGGCAGAGGGCAGGGCAGGGACTAGAGGGCACCCTCCAGGCTAGCATGTCCTCCTAAGCTGCAGGACTGCGGGTGTCCAGACAGTGGCTTGGCGGGTCCAGGGCAGCCTCAGGCCTGCGTCTTCCCAGCTCTGCCACGGAAAGCTTGGCCCCACTTCCGGGGAGTCCATGGCCCGTAGGTAACCCAAGACACACCTGTGAACCCTCACTCCTGCCCCATGTAGGGGTCAGCTTCTGAGGCCCGGGGACTGGCAGGACCCTCATCTGTCCTTTTCCTTCTCCCTCTCCACCCCTGCCATCCCCCAGCACACAAACATCCACCCCCTTTAACTCAGAAATTGTCACAGGAGAGGTGAGCTTCGGTCCCCAGCTCCCTGGGCTGCTTGGGAACACAGTTACTGCCCTCACCCACACGGCTGCGGTCAGCAAGTATCTTCCCAAACGCTGTCCCTGCAGGCACTGCCCACGGGCGGATCTGGGAGGCAGGGCAGGGCAGGAAGGGGTTAAGGCAGTCGGGCCTCGGAGCTCAGCCCTGGGAGCCAGCCTGGCCTGTGTGGCCCGCTCCTGTTCTTCTTTCTGCTAATTCCCTACCCCACCCCCACCCGGCTCCCCAGGCTCTCTGCCCACAGCTCCAGGCAGGGGCAGCCAGCGGCCAGGTCCAGGCTGGCAAGGTCCCAGTGGTGAGCCACGCAAAGGCCCAGCATGTGTATGTGTGTGTGCGTGCGTGTGTGACAGTGCACGTGTGTACGTGTGTGTGACTGTGTCCGTGCATGTGAAGGTGCATTTGTGTGTTGGGAGGGGCACAACCCAAGGGCTGTGAGCTCCTCTTCCAGTAAACAAGGACATGTGACCCCCCACCTCCTTGGTGGCAGAGCAGGAGCTGAGGGAGGGAGGGAGGCCCTGGGGGCAGCTGTCCTGCTGGCCCTGGCCTGAGCGTCCTAGCGGCCGGGTGCACAGGGCAGGGTGGGGGGCTCAGGTGTGTGTGTCTCTGGCTCCCCCTCAGCGCAGCCATCACAGTGACCGACGTCACCACAGCGCCCTGCCTGCCACGCTCCTGCTGCCTCTAAGATGTGCCCTGGCAACTGGCTCTGGGCCTCCATGACGTTCATGGCCCGCTTCTCCCGAGGCAGCTCGAGGTCTCCCGTGCGCTCCAGGGGGAGCCTGGAGGACATGCCGCCCACACAGCACCCCTTCCTCAACGTCTTTGAGCTGGAGCGCCTGCTCTACACAGGCAAGACGGCCTGCAACCACGCCGACGAGGTCTGGCCCGGCCTGTACCTCGGAGACCAGTACGTGCTGGGCAGACGGGCCTTGGCTGTGCGTGCATGTGTGTGTGCGTGCGCGTGTGTGTGCGTGCGCGTGAGAAAGAGACGGTGCAGGCGGGCACTGGACTGTGGATGGTCACCGCTGAGGCTGGAGGGCTTAGGGCTTTGGGCAGGATTGTCGGGACACGCAACTCCGCATGGGGACTCTGGTTCAAGCAACAGCAGCATTTGGGGATGAGGTGTGGCCGAGTGGAGTGCTGCAGACCGGCCACACGGCCTCTGGCCTGCATCCTGCTCCGTGGCTCTGCACCAAGGCAGCGCCAGGCAGCAGAGGCGGGCGGTGACTCGCCGAGGCTCCTCCGGAGAGCGAGCAGGGCCTCAGGGGTACAGAGCTGCCGCAGGCCGGGACTCTGGAGAGGGCGCCGTGGCAGGCAGAGCCACCCCACAGCCTGCCCCCCAGGGCTCCAAGTGTGAGGGGTCTTCACAGGAGCTTCCTCTCTTACTCTGCACAAGGCCAGCTGGGCCACCCTCCCCAGGCTACAGATGAGGATACGGATGCGCAGAGAGGTTGCGGCTGACCCGAGGTCACCGGGGGTCAGCAGCAGGCCAGGCCCGGCATGGGGGCTCAGTGCTCTCCCTCCTCAAGACCCTTGCCCTGAGAGACACTGAGCTGAGGGGGACAGAGAGGGCTAGGGACGACAGGTGGCATCGTAGAACAGGTAGACATGAACCACGGAGGAGCTGGCAGGGCATGGGCGGGCTTCGGTGTTGGACAGCGTGAAGTGGCCAGGGTCAGCAGGTGGTGCCTGTGAGCTGGCGACTCGACACTCGGCATTGATCTGCCTCCTGGAATACCCGGGGTCGGGGAGCTCGCTCTCCCCTGCCAGGTTCCTTGTCAATGCCCCATCTTCCCAGCAATAGCCGCCGCCTCCTGTGGCTGCAGGCCCTGACCTAGGGCACCCACCTCCTGGGACTGCCCTGTTATTTGTACCAGGCCCTAGTCGTCTCTTCTTCTTTTTTTCATATTTTTATTTTTTTGCTATATGGCATGTATGCTTACTGGAGAAACAGAGACAGGAAGTGAGAAATCACTCACCCCCCCACCCACCCCAGGGTCAGAGGAAACATCCACATGTGTTTGGCATGAGTTTTAAGCCGGGAGGGAGGTCCACAGTCTGCAGTCGACTACGGGGGGAGTCCAGCGATGTGACCATCACGCCATCTGCTGGTCCCCTAGTCTCTTCTCCATCAAAACAAGTACCCTCCCCACTCCAGAACACCCACCAGACATGAGCCTTCCTAGTCCCTTCCTTCTCAGTCAAGTGAGACAGACGCTGGGGCCCATGGGACGTTCCAGGCGGCGGGCAGGCCCAGGCTGCCTACTGGCCTCCCCACCTCACCTCTGCTCTCTGCGCAGGGATGTGGCCAGCAACCGGCGGGAGCTCCGCCGATTGGGCATCACCCATGTGCTCAACGCCTCACACAGCAGGTGGCGGGGCACACCCGAGGCCTACGAAGGGCTGGGCATCCGCTACCTGGGCGTGGAGGCCCACGACTCGCCCGCCTTCGACATGAGCACCCACTTCCAGCCCGCTGCCGACTTCATCCACCGGGCACTGAGCCAGCCGGGAGGTAGGCGGGATGGAGGGGGTCGGGGGCACGCCCTGCAGTCACCCTGCCTGGACTGCAGCCTAGGGGCACCGTGTGACAGCCCTGGGGTGGAGAGGTTGGGAGGAGCTGTTCCAGTCGGCCTTTAAAGGCTGCAGTGAGAGGCAGGGAGAGTACCGTCCACACTCTGAACAGGATGAGCCGCGCAGGGTGGCCAGACCGCCGGCGATCACGTTCCCTCGGTTCCCTGGCTTGTCTACACTTGCTGACTGCACTGTGAGCGTGGTGTAGGTGCTTCAGTGGTCAGAAGAAATATACACGCAGGGACTTCAAAGAGTTCATGGAAAAATGGAACTAAAGTACAAGTTTCTTTTGGCCCAAGAAGTGCCTGAAATCCATGCCTAATTCTTTCCGTACTGTGTGTTTCCCAGGAATGTTTTGTTGCCCTCTCACTTGTAAATGAAAAATATCCCCAACCAATGAGAGAAACAGCCAGACGGTGGGGTGGGGGGACAAGAAGGGCCAGGTAAGACCCGGGTTCCCGTGGCTGCCCTCTGCAGACACAATCTGAGTTATGACGGGCCTTCAAAAAGTGCATGGAAAATGAGTATCAGGAAAAATCCACATGTGGCCTTCAATACTCTTTTGCACCGAAATACACTAGTACTTGACTCCATCTTCCCTGAGCTCGCCGAAGTTCTGGGTGAGCTGCGAGTCCCTGCCGGGGCCCGGGGGAGGCTGCTAGACCGGGCTGCCCCAGGCCTCTGTGCGTTCCCTCTGCCCAGGCCTCACCCCTTCCGGATCAGCATGCCGACCCACCCCAGTCACACGCACCGGTCGGCGGCCTTCCTCCCCAGCCCAGGCCGGCTCCGTGGCACGTGTCTCTCCCCACAGGGAAGATCCTGGTGCACTGTGCGGTGGGTGTGAGCCGCTCAGCCACGCTGGTGCTGGCCTACCTCATGCTGTACCACCGCCTCACCCTCGTGGAGGCCATCAGAACCGTCAAAGACCACCGTGGGATCATCCCCAACCGGGGCTTCCTGAGGCAGCTCCTGGCCCTGGACCGCAGACTGCGGCAGGGTCTGGAGGCGTGAGGGGGCAGAGGTCGCCAGGCCCAGGGGTCCCTGGCTCCCAGCTGGAGAGAGGAGGCCCCGGGGCAGGTGGCAGAGGACCAGCTAACCACCCTGCCCTGGCGGCAGGAGAGGGCCGGTGGCCTGGCCCACCGGGGGCTCCCTGGGGAGGGCAGGGCAGTGAGGCTCAGTGTGGCCGCCCCAGGTGGGGGCTGGCCGGGGCAGGAGCCAGGATGGAGGCCAAGGAGGTTTCTGGGACTGGACCCGCTGGGCTCCAGCCAGGGTACCCATTGATTCACGGCCTGCCCTCGACGCACCCAAGTGTCCCCTCTCTGACTCACCTACACGCAGGGCCATCTGTCCTGTGCCTGTGCAGAGACGGCAAGCCTGGCCGCGACAGTGCGGAGCGCGTGCATCGCGGTGTGGACACACAGTGACGAGATGGGCAGAGGAGCTGCATACCCACAGCAGGCACAGACTGCGACCGACGTGGGGCACCACAGGACTGCGTGCTGTGAGGCTGCAGTCCCTCACCGACAGACGCAGGGCGCACAGCGTGGAGGGGGGCCGTGGACGTCGTCCTGTGAGGAAGGGTCCCGAGACCTAGGAGACCACCTCGCTGGGTACAGGAAGCCGACGCCCGGGGGTGGGACGGGCCCCAGCAGTGCCCAGTGGCCCCTGCGTGCCAGCTCACAACCCTGCTGGCTAACCATGGCCTCGGCTACCTGACTGGAGTGGTGGGAGACAGGGGCATGGTGGGGCACAGCTGGGCCGGCTCAGGACAGTCCGGGCAGCTGCTGGTCCAGGACAGCCGGGGCGGGGCCGGGTGGATGGCAGTGGGGACCCTGCTTGGGGGTCTCTCTTTTTCTCCCCTTCTCGTGGAAGAAATAAACTAAAAAGAGAGAAACCTTGAGCTGTTATTTCCAGCTAGTCCACCGGGAGGCAGCAGAGGACCAAAACCTTCAGCCGTGCCACCAGGCCGCCCTGCTGAGGGCCACAGAACCGCCACCGCCACCAGCACCGCACCGCCACCGGTGCCTGAAACGGGCCTCTGTTCCCACGCTCACCATGAATCTGGGGGCAGGCACAAGCCACAGCACCCCCAAACGTACTGACAGTGGTTCTTCCGCGGTCCAGGTCCTCGGTTAGGAGGGTTAGGCTCTTCCTCCCACGCCCTCTGCAGACAGCCCTTCCCTCCCAGGGGGCGAAGTAGCCCTCCTGGTCTCTGCCTGTCCCCGCTGGCCTGCATCTGCCGCAGGGTCCTCAGCCTTGCCAGACTGGACCCCTTTCTTTTTTCGATTTTTATTTTATTTATTTATTTATGTTTTATGTATCTCCATTTGTTATTATTATTATTTTTAATTTGACCAGACAGAGACAGAGAGAGACACAGGGAAAGCGAGAAAGCAAGCCGCCGGGTCCAGGACTTGAACCGTGGTCGGCTACGTGGGAATCCAGCACCTTTAACCACCATGCCACCTGGCAACAGGACCCCAGTCTCTTAGAAGGTACCTGTCCTGACAGGCCGGGCCTGAGTCTGAGCGGGAGGCCAGTGAGGTTGGTGGGCCGGCCTGCAGCTGTGGTCAATGTGCAGGGACAGCTGCATCTGAAAGAGAGAGTGAGGCCCTCTTTAGAAATCTTGATTCCGATTCAAATGGACTTACATATAACAAAACAAAACAAAACAAAAGCTACCTGCTGCCCCCTCCCGAAAACAAACAAGCAAGAACAGGTAAGCCAGGCTTACAGGTCTGACTGTAACTGTCACCTGGGCAGTGCGGTACAGGAAGAGCTGTCACCTCCTGTGTTCTAGTCTGGACGGTGTATTCCCACCAGCCACAGTAAAGTAACCACCACACCCGTGTCCTAGACCTTCCCTTGTTGAGTAACTTCAGATTTCGGTTTTGTTTTATTTTGTTTTCTCTGCTGAAGTGCACATGCGCTGGCCAGAGTGCGACAGAGAAAGCGGGAAAGCGGGAAAGGAGAACGCACCCCTGTGGGAGTGGCCCCGTCACGGTCCCTCCTCCACCCGCTCCTGTGGGGACTTGGGGCTCATGCACACGTGCCCAGCATGTTTATCGAGCCTTGCATCTGGGACGCGAGCAGATTGGTCAGTGTGGATGGCAGTTCTTCCTGTTGGGTGATGGTGGTGGAGCTGACCCGAGAACGTCACTACCTGCCAGGGGCCGAAGTGTATTCCATCAGAGAACAGCCCCCAGCCGTTCACGCCGAGCGGGTTACAGATTTCTATCCTGTGTCAAAGTCACATCCCGGCTGTGCCAGGCACTCCGTCTTCACAGATCCCGGCCACTTGCCCCTCACGGGGGCCCTGCGGGGCAGGGGACCGCCAATGCTCAGGTGTCGGCCCACCGCCATGGCCAGTTCCCCAAGGACACCCAAACAGGACACAGGAGGGCTGACTGACACTGCTTCCCCAGCACCAGAATCCCTGGATCTGCCTGGGAGCTTCGCACTGCCGTGCCCTGCTGCCAACCACACCCCTTCCGGCTACCTGCCTTGCCGGGCGGGGGCATGTGCTGGTGTGGTGTGCATAGGCCTTGTGGTGTGGTGTGGTGTGTGTGTGTGCGTGTGTCCTGGTCATGGTGTGTGTGTGTGCGTGCGTGTGACTTGGTCATGGTGTGTGTGTGTATGTGCGTGTATCCTGGTCATGGTGTGTGTGTGCATAGGCCTTGTGGTGTGGTGTGGTGTGTGTGCTTGCGTGTGACTTGGTCATGGTGTGTGCGTGCGTGTCTTGGGCATGGTGTGGGCGTATCTTGGGCATGGTGTGTGCATGCTTGTGTCTTGGTCATGGTGTGTGTGTGTGCATGTGCGTGTCTTGGACATGGTGTGTGTGTGTGTGTGTGCGTGCATGTCTTGGGCATGGTGTGTGTGTGTCTTGGGCATGGTGTGTGCATGCTTGTGTCTTGGGCATGATGTGTGTGCGTGCGTGTCTTGGGCATGGTGTGGGCGTATCTTGGGCATGGTGTGTGCATGCTTGTGTCTTGGTCATGGTGTGTGTGTGTGCATGTGCGTGTCTTGGACATGGTGTGTGTGTGTGTGTGCGTGCATGTCTTGGGCATGGTGTGTGTGTGTCTTGGGCATGGTGTGTGCATGCTTGTGTCTTGGGCATGATGTGTGTGCGTGCGTGTCTTGGGCATGGTGTGTGTGTGTCTTGGGCATGGTGCGTGCATGCTCGTGTCTTGGGCATGATGTGTGTGTGTGCATGTCTTGGGCATGGTGTGTGTGTGTGTGTATGTGTCTGGGGCAAGGTGTGTGTTTGCGTCTTGGGCGTGGGTGTGTATTGATGTCTAGGTCATGGGGTGTCTGGGTGTGGGTGTGAGGTGTGTGTGCATGTGTGTGTGCGTGCTGGGTGCGGGAGGAGGACAGGAGTGAGCGCTGTTCCCGCAAACCTTCAGACTGGGCAGCCTCTCTCTGCCGCCTTCGCTCGGTGTCTGTGGGCGTCAGCTGACTGACCTCCTCGAGTGATCTGTGCCACTCGAGGGTGGAGCATGAGCAGGGCCAGGCCTGGTCATCGTCAGTAGAGCCAGCTGTCCTCCGGAGGTCTGAGAGGGACACCTGTGGCAGGCGGGTCTCACTCCCACCTACCAAAATGGAGGCTGAGGTCCAGCCTCCCCCGTGCCGTCCGGGGTTGACCCTCTGATACAAGCAGAGAAGGGAATTAGTGCTCCAAAGCGCTCCTAGCCCCTAGGCCTGTGCTTCCTGCAACTGCCGCCACCCAGAGCGGAGGGCCCGGCCTTCCAGCCACCGCCCCTCCCACCCTCGCTGCCTCCAGCCACCTCTGGGATGCTGGCAGTCCCGGCTGGGAGGCCCCACAGGGCAGCCACGGGAGCACGGCCGCTGGGCACTGGGCAGCAGGTGCAGCGAGAAGCCGGCCGGGAGCGGGCTCACACGGCAGAGGTCGTGGCCCCTGGCCCTCCCAGGAAGGCTGGGCCGGTGGTGAGGAAGGCAGCGGGGCACGCCGTAGACTCTGTGTCCTGGGGGTGCAGGCAGGAGACCCACACCTCAGAAACCTTGCACCCCAGCCCCGGAACCCGTGAACACGCCACTGACCTGGCCAAAGGGACTCTGCAAGTGGGGTGGAAGTGACAGCCGGAGGCAGAAAGACGGCCTGGAGTAACGGCGGGGTCACGTGGTGACGCCAGTGTAGACATGATGCCCAGGGAGGCTGACCACCTGGAAAGGCTCCGTGTTCACTTCCAGGCCCCAGTTCCCTGGGCACACAAGTGCCACAGCCCGGGCCGCTGAGCCTCAGGGGACGACAGTGTCAAGGCCCTGTTTGGAGTGCTGTCTCTGTCTCTCTCTGTCTCTCATGGGAGAAATAAATGAGCTTTCTGAAAGGAGAGAAGAGCGTGTCTGTGGGGAGAGGCGTGCCCAGGGGACGGGACCAGAGTGGGGCGCGAGCCTCTGCACTCTACAAAAGGCCATCAGCTCGTGGCAACCAGGCACGGCGGCCGCGGGAAGACTGTGCGGGCCCCCACCACACCTCACACGGAGACCTTGCACACCACACATCGCCGACGGCCAGCGATGACAGGCCAGTTCTGCTGTGCTGTGAAAATCGGGACCTGGTGGGGCGCGAGTTCAGGGCCCATCTGGCCAGGGCTTCGAATCCGGGCTGCAAACAGGCAGCTGCAGGCAGACACCTCCCGGTGGAGGCTTAGGGAGGCCGGAGGGACAATGCACTCTGCTGTTGTTTTAGAAGAGACGTTCCTTTTCAGGGCAGTTGTAGTTTCACTTTTTTTTACTTTTCACAGCCAAACTGAGGGGCAGACACAGATTTCCCACACACTCCCAGCCCGCAGGGGGCACGGCCTCCCCCATTGTCAACATCCCCAGGTGGGAGCCTCTGCACGGTCACGGCCTATGGGGACACCCATTCACCCGGAGTTGTGTCCTGCACGAGGGCTCTCCCGGAGCTGGGCATTCTCCAGGGTGGCACCAGCAGTGTCACACAGCCGTGTCACAGCCCTGAGAGCCCTCCGTGTCCACTGTCTGCTACTCCCAGCAATCCCGGTGACGGCGCCGTCCTGGTGCCCACAGCGCTGCCTGTTCCAGAACGTCACGCCACCGGACGCACAGGAGGTGCGGTCTACATGTGTTCTCAGCACCACCCTGTTCCCGGAACACGGCTGACTGTACGGTTCTCATACATGACACAGAAACATAAATCCCAAAGACACGTGTTGTGGTCCAGACCCTTGGAAAATCTCCCATGAGGGGCTCTTGAGGAGCTAAACTCCGGAGCCCTCCCCCCATCACACACTGCACTGCACACAGGGGCGAGAGGCCAGGGTGAGGTGGGAAGGCACCCCGAAGAAGGCAGTGTCTAGCTGATTCTTCTACAATGTTGGTCTGGCCAGAAGGGAAATGGGCCTTCCGCACAGCAGCGGTGGCCCGTGTACTGTCACCATCAGGAAAGAAGGCACCGTGCTCCGGACGGCCCGGCCACAGCCTCAGGTGAGGAGGACTTGGGGGAGGGGGGTAAGGAAGACGGAACCCCTGCGGGTTTGCAGTTTATCCTGAAAACACCAGAGACCAATGCGAACCTTAAGCAAGGGGGGTGCATGCTCTGATTTTGTTTAGAAAGAGAACTCGGGGCCGGCAGTAAGGAGACCCGTGTACAATCAAAGCTCGATTTCCTCTCGAACGGCGTGGAAATCTGGGGACAAGGCGTATTAAGATGAAGACTGTGGGGGCCCACCCTTCAACTATTGATCTGCGTCTCTGGGCCTAGCCTGGGAACACGCACTTGTGACACCCTAACCTAAAAGTGATTCTCGCTGGCACGAAGTGAGGCCACAGGGAGCACAGGTTCCCACAGGGCGTCTCCGAGGAAGGCAATGGGTGCGATGGACACAGGGGCCCTGGAGCCCGCTCAGGAAGAAAACCCACACAAGGGAGCGG